GCGTTTTCTTTGTTATCTTTATCTGAGTGAACATCCTTCCTTTTTTATGGCAACAAAGCACACTCATAAGCTAAATTCTTTGTCTGAGAACCAATCTTAATTGCAATGCTTAATGTTGCAAACAGAGCCTTTTGTTGTAATCGGATTTTAATAGTTTTCTTTATCCAAAGGAATATCTAACGTAATGTTTGTTGTAAACCACTCCCACCAAATATGCTGTTAAAATTGTATATATAGTCAAGGCTATAACTAGATCATTGCCTTTTCAAACACCTAACCAAGAACTGCACGCGTACATTGTATCCTCTACTCTCTTCAATAAATATTTTTACTATTATTCTCTGCATTATTACAACCTACTATCCCCTGCGAATTAATAACTTCCTCCTGAACCGAACAAAGAATACCTTCTCAGAATATTCGTCTTGCTTAAGAACAAACCCTTCTGTCGTGGTTTTTTGTTAAAGTAATTTGCGGTCAGTCAATCAATCATCGAAATTAAATCGGTATGGCAAGATACGTGGACGTTCAAATTCGACGTTTCCAAGAAGAAATATTAAACTTAAAATCTGTTGTTGTTACTGGTGAATGATATTTGACCGCGGAGAAATATTATACTATACTATAAGATGAACATGCCAAGATACAGAAATGAGATAGAACGAGATAGAAATTCCATAACGAGACAAAACCTACTCAAGAGCGCAAATATAAATCAAGAATCTAAAACTAACACTTCGGGAATCAAACAGTATGATGTGACGATGCCTTCATCGTGAAAAACGTATTTGATCATCTCAAAGCAAAATAAAACAGAAACGATATAAAATATTTACCGTGATAAGATGTTCGTTGGTTGATCGAATTAAGAGAAATTACAGCACGAACGAGAAAAAACAAGACTGCAGGTATATCAGGTATATCAGTAGTACGATTGGCATCAGCTAAACAGCTGCCACGTTTGCAAGAGGCACTGAAGCAAAAATATAAAGAACGATGTCAATTAAAAGTAAATTCAAACAGTGACAGCAATTTGGAAGCCCGTGGAAAAGATGCATAACTACTGAGCATGACGTGAAAATTGCACAAGCTGATCTGCGAACTTCGCTCGAACGTGAAGGACAATGGAATGTCAATCGTTTTCAACTCGAAAGTAAGCTTCAAGATAAAGAAAGCGTAACACAGCAACTTAATTTGTTGCAGGTCGAAAGATCATTTGCTCCATGCAAATCTCAAAAATTCGATTCAAAACTGTCGGATTGAAATGAGAAACAGCAAATAGATTCAAAGTTAAAAGAACCATGCATAAATGGAGATGCTGTCGCGAATTTTTACTCGCGAGACTCCAACCATACAAATATATAATCAAATAAATTTCCTATTGTAAATTATCTAACCAATTTATATT